TCAGCAGGTTCCAGTCGGCGCTGATCGTCAGGTGAGAAAGATTTTTTTTTTATTATTTGTCTTCTTCCATAATAATAAGTAGAAGAATTCTAAATATTGTCGTTGTTGTTACTGCGATTGTTATTATAAATGATAATGATGCTGGTAATGACGTTACTGTAGTTCATTGTCGCGTCAATCAGAGTGTAAAACAACAATGAAACCAGGGGTGAGTTTTGATGTGACAACGCTGCGATGAAACGTAATGATCCAATAGTAATTTCATACTTGAATAATCTGTCATTACTGGGATTTCAAGGTGGTTGAAGTTATTTTTTATTTTTTATTTTTTTAGACTTATTTTTTCCTGGTCGTTTCCGGATGTCGATTTATAGTATAAACTTTGATGCGTTCACTGTCTGCTCCAGGATCAAGCGTTGAGGTAAAGATAGGAATGGATTCAGATGAATTATTGATCACACACTGCTTTGGTTTTGATAGTGTGGGGTCACAGCTCTGTGTCCGGCAGAGATAAAGGTCCAGTTTCACTTTTCAGACACAGTTTGAGAAAAGGTCAAACCAAAGCGCGTCTACTCTGTTTTGTCTCTTTGTAATCTGAAAGACTTTAACTTTAATCATTCTCAACATCACTTTTCACTTCCTTATACTTACTTCAGTGAAATGTTTCTCTCTAGAACTCCAACAACAACAACAACAACAATAACGTCACGGTGACACCATGCTGCGCCTCGTAGCTCTGATGATGGCGACTCTTTCCACAGTGATCTACAACTCCAGCTGTTTGACCTCCACCCACTACGATAGAGGTACTGCCACCTACCGGACAAACACAGTACTTACAGTCAAGTTAATTACCACTTGTTCGTGTTCGTGTGTGTGTGTGTGGATTCACTGTCACACAGACTCGGACAAAGCTCGGACCACAACCACAAACTAAACTAACATTTAATGACACGATTCAAAATAATAATAAAAATAACATGAATAATGTGGGTTTAAAGCAGTGTGGACTCGAGTCGCATGACTTGGACTCGAGTCAGACTCGAGTCATCAATTTGATGACTTTAGACTCGGCTTGACAAAATGTAAAGAGACTTGCAACTTGACTTGGACTCTAACATCAATGACTCGTGACTTCACTTGGACTTGGGCCCTTTGACTCGACAAGACTTGATACTTTCTCCAAAACCCAAAGTGATCTGTGTAAATATATTATTATTTTGTTTAAAAGGACTCAAAAGTACTCGAAACAGAAACGACACCTCGGACTTGACACTTTTCAGTTTTGACTTGGACTCGACTCGGACTTTGCCTGTCTTCACTTGAGACTTGACTCGGACTTGAGTGCAAAGACTTGAGAGTTACTTGTGACTTGCAAAGCAATGACTTGGTTTAAAGGGTTTGCATTATACATCGCACCAGGAGATGGCGCCCTAAGCAACGTCGGGAGCAGGCTCCAGTAGAAAACGTCTGACAATAAATATTTAAAGTTTGGATGTTCATGGATTGATGACAGATGTCAGTGTTTGTTTTTGTCAATAATGTCAGACTGGGAATTCATGTCAATATAAAGTTCTGTTCTTTTTCAGACCAGGTTCTGCTCAGAGCCCTGGGAGATTTCCGCAGCACATCACTGCAGCAAACAATACAGCACTCAGGTGTGAATTCACCTGCTGAAGAGTTCCAAAGAAAGGCCAGGAAAGTTCCGGGGACACAGTGGTGGAGATCAAGGTTCCCACTCACCCCTCAGGCCATGAAGCGTCATCAAGATATTTCCTCGTACAACCTCAACTCCTTTGGTCTGCGTTATGGAAAATGATGCAGCGCCTGCAGTACGTCTGTCTTCACTTTGTTATGTGTTTGCAGATATGTTTATATATACACAAAACTGTAAAA